AGAAAATAAGGTTATTTAAGTTTTTATTAAATATATATAAGCTTTTCTAACTAGTAGGAAAAAACTAGATAAAAAAGGAGCTTATTTTTGTTGATTCATATATAGTTGAAGATATCGAGGTTATGGTGTTGAGGCCAAAAGCGGGGTGGCCGGTTCCCGGGGTGGCCGGTTCCCGGTCTCGTGACTTAATGTCTCAACTGACGGGTCTTGCGGGAAGAATGGCAAGACCTGTAAAGGAAGTGCCTTTGGAGACTGTTGTTCTGCTGAAGGATACTGCGGTAAGACCGATGACTTCTGTACTGCTGGTTGTCAGTCCAACTTCGGAACTTGTGCTGCCGAAACTGATATTTCCACTGACGGCTTTTGTGGCAAGAACGGCAAAGTTTGCAAAGGCAGCAAGTATGGCGATTGCTGTTCCGCGGAAGGATACTGTGGAAAAGACAGCCACTGCGGTGCAGGCTGCCAGCCCAAGTTCGGCACATGCGCTGCTGAGACCAACATCTCTACCGACGGCTTCTGCGGTAAGAATGGCAAAGTCTGCAAGGGAAGCACGTACGGTGACTGCTGCTCTGCCCAGGGCTACTGTGGCAAGGAGACAGGTCATTGTGACGCAGGATGCCAGAGTGCTTTTGGCAGCTGCAACAGCGCCGCGGGCAACATCTCCACGGAAGGCCAATGTGGCAAGAATGGAAAGACTTGCAAGGGTAGCACCTTTGGCGACTGTTGCTCTCCTCAGGGCTGGTGCGGAAAGGAGAAGGATCATTGCGGTACGGGTTGTCAATCCGGCTTTGGGACTTGTGATGCCTCAGCTGGTAACGTTTCTACTGATGGAAGCTGCGGCAAGAATGGAAAGATTTGTAAGGGTAGTCAGTGGGGTGACTGTTGCTCCAAGAACGGCTACTGTGGCAAGGGTGATGACTACTGCCGTGATGGATGTCAGACAGCCTATGGTCTCTGCACTGGTATCTCCACTGATGCTGAATGTGGTTCAAGGAACGGCAAGACTTGTGTAGGTTCTGGTCTTGGGAACTGTTGTTCCGCCAATGGGTTCTGCGGGAGCACTTCGACTCACTGCGGTCAGGGCTGGTAAGTATCTTCCTCTTCTTTAACAAGATTCTTAACTAACATTATTCTTTCAGTCAAAAGGGTTCCTCCAGTGCCTGTCTGACGAAGGATATTCCTACCCTTGACGGCTCATGCGGCAGTAAAGTTGGTCTTACGTGCGCTGGTGGTCCGTTCAATGGCCAGTGCTGTAGCGTCGCAGGCTACTGCGGAACGAGCACACATTGCGGCTCTGGATGGTAAGTCGTCTCCCATATTTCAACTCAACATAATGCTAATTGGCTAGCCAACGTGGTTTTGGGCGCTGCAACTAGTTATGGTATTGATAAGGGCGTGATTCGGGGTAAAGTTCTTGCATAAGTTGGAAGTGATGTTCTTCATTTTAGAAGGTCAATTACACCAAACTTCATTCACGTGCAAATAATAAACTATGTTTCCTTATGCCGTTATGTAATAATTCTAAGATTTATCGTAGATGTAATAGTAATCGAACTACTTGAGCATTCTTACCCTACACTTTCCGAGATGCATATACCCCCAACCTACCATGTAATAATTCTTTGCTCACTATGTATCAGGCCTATATGCAACAATAATCATTGCAGGATTTTAAGTTAATTGTTTGCTCCAAGATAATCAGATACCTAATAGGCACGGTGTTTTTAATAGTTAAAATAACAAAGCTTCACAAAGCTATTCTGAATCTGGCTGCCACTTCAAGAAATAACCGCCGCCATTGTCAATTGCGCATCCAGACCATAAACACAAAGCTTTTCCTTCACTTCTTCTCGAACAGGTCTGTCAAAAAATACTCGTCTCACGTTACCTGCCTCCATATGCAGGACCGAGCGAGATATGTCGCCTATGACATCTGGATTGTTGCGGTAGGCTTGCACTACAGTATCGATCGGCGAGATATACGCGGAGTTGACGTTCCCCGCTGATCCATTAGGATTCTTCCGAGGGTACTTTACTATGAGGGCTTTATATTTAATATTAAAAAAGGAACTAATAATATTATAAAAGGTCTTAATAAACCTCCTTGATAAGGGGTTTATTTAAGCTAGTAATTTAAATAGAATGGCCTTAATACTATTTATAAAAAAGCTAAAAAGGGGGTTTTATTTTTATTATAAGTATAAAGCCTTTAATATTAATATATAATAAAATTATTACCTACTTCTTATAATTATAAAGACTTTATATAACCTGGTAAAAGCTAAATAATTATAAAGCTTAATATAATAATTAGTTTTTATAAAATTTAAATAACTAAGAAATATAAAATTAAAATTATATTTTAAACTTACTTTAAGTCTTTTAAGTAATTAATTTTTTTATTTAAATTTAATACAGCGCTTATTATATTTTAATAATTTATTAATAATATATTATATTAATCCTTAAATTATTATATTATAGCTTATATAAATAATATATTTATTAATATATTAAAAACCTACTAAGAATATATAATTAAAATATAACTAGTATTTAATACTTTTATAAAAGTTGATTTATATTTAAATCTTAAGAAATATAAATTTATTAGTAAAAAATAAAATATTTTAAGCTTATTATAAGAATAAAATAAGTAATAAGATATAATTAAAAGAAGTAATAAGCTATTAAAAAATAAGTAATACTTATATTTATTAAAGAAGTATAAAGCTTTTTAGGCTTTATATTAGCTTTTATTAGTAATTATATAACTTACTTTTAATTACTTATAATTTAATAATAAATTAAATATACTCTTAGCTTATAGCTTAGCTTATAGTTATATATATAAGTATAAGGATTATAATAATACTTAACTGCCTATTAAGTTTTATAATTACTTTATATTATATTAATTAAAAAGAGGCAGGTTATATATAATAATAAAGTCTTTTTACTCTTAGCTTATAGCTTAGCTTATAGTTATAT